CTGCAAAACTTTAAAATAATCAAAGAACAGACACGTAAAGCTTTCCCTTCCTTTCACAGGGCTATGACATTCCCTTACCACACCGGTCAGTTCATCATCAACGAATGGCAGGCAGAGATCAGCAGACACAGAATGCTGCATTGAAAAGGAAGACAACTTTTCATTTTGGGAGCTCAACAAACTATGTGTACCTTCGGATTCATCTTCATTTAAAACAACAACAAAAAACCTCAAAAGCTTTTAGACCGACACTCTCAGTAGTCTCAACTAAATACCTAAATCTACAAAATAGACAATCAGAAGCTACAAAATTGCTTTATCCCACTATAAACAACACTGTAGACACGAACTAAAAAAGTAATCCTTCAAGTCCACTTTCACAAAGGCGTAGCAATACCATTTTTTTTTGCCGGCGGGAGACAATTCCATCTGTTCATTTCTGTCAGGCACGAAGCCGTCAGAGAAATAACACAAAGTGGGCATGTCCAACCATGATGAACCATTTAAAATAAAAAAGAAAGTAAAACAGTTGTAGACCTGCATGTTTGCCGACAATCGTCTGAAATCCGACAATCGCGACCCGACCCGCGAGGCGGCCGATGCTATCGCTAGGCCCACCTGTATCAGTCAATGTGCGTAGTGCGAGGCTTGGCCGACTGCCAGCGACCCCTTTTTCTCCCGTCGGCACTTTCGTTTTCGTGCCGACCGCCGACGCGCGCACCGCCGACTGCCGACGTCGGCGTTTCCGACATAATTGTCGGAACCTGAGTAGAAATGCGAATACGAAAAAAGACGACGACCTAAATTATCTTCTTTCAGTTTCGTGCTCGAGCGGCCATTTTGAATTTCGTTTTGTTGACAAATTCAATTGTTCAGATCGTATGGATTCATTCCAGTCCGACTCACTTAGATAATAGAATCTAGATCTAGATCTAGATTTATATAGATCATTATAGACCTCAATGGAGGATTCATATTCCAATTCTATTTTGTCAAACCCTATCAAAGGTTGTGCTTTAATATTAATGTTGGTAAAAGGCATTTCATCAGGTGCGTGAATTATTTATTTATTTAGAATCTATACTCAGCTGAGCCCCTCTGTTCGGAATCGGATGCGGATTTCTAGTTCAAGGCCTATTCCTAGATCCTATTCACTTGTTCTTCTAGATCTAGATTATCTAGATCTAGATTTATTTAGTTTACTAGATCTAGATCTATGTGGAGGATTCATATTCCAATTCTATTGTGTTATTGTATCAAACCCTATTATTGTAGATCTAGCAATATGTAGATGTAGGCCATTATGATTATATTATGCTCCTTGTAAGCCTTGTTTGTTTTGGAGTGTGGTTTTTTAATTTTAAAAATATTTTTCATTTTGGACTTGTGCTGGCCTTTTCACATGAGGCTCGTTGCAGGTTCTTTTTTGGGGTAGGCCTAGGGGTAGGGGAAGGGTTAGGTCTCTTCTTTGTTGTGTTTGTTGGGGTGGTCGCTCGTTACTCGGAAGTCCTTCCTTATGACACCAACAAAAGTTCTTTTGGGAGGGGGGGGGGGTTGCGCAAAATTTTCAGACAATCTGGTTGAGGCTCACATGCAGGTCTACAGTTGATTAGCATTTAAACTGGTGGTTTAGTAATAAGCACCGACTTTGCTCAATTTGAGGCACTGATTACGAATATGATGAATACAACACCAAATGTTTCATCAGAGCTTAAAATTTCCCCGAGAGACAGACGACTTTTGGTTGGTCGGTTTCTGTGTTTGGTTTGGTGGACACACGGCCCTTCCACAGCACATTGTCCACTTGAGCAAAATTTTTAAAAATAAAATCTGCTGGTAGTCAAAAGGTGACAGGAATGCATTAATCTCGCCCCTTCCCCCCCCCCCCCCCCCCATAACAACCACATTCCTTTTCGAGAGGCAGCGAAGGAGGAAATGCGACCCCAGGAAAGTCTGTTACGTCATGCTACTGAACATTATCCACAGGAAAAAGACACAACAATGAGATTTTTTAAATTGCATGTACAAACCAAGACTGTGTCAAACTAAACCATGACAGAACAAGCAAAATACATTTTAAAATACGAGTGACAATCGCACGATCACTCTCAGCAACATATATTACACTTTACAAGTCATAAAAAGTTTTTTTTCTACATGAATCCACATGTCAAACATACGTATATATATATATATACAAGAACTGGCACTCAACCAGTGCAGACAACATTGGTGCAGATCAGCACAGGTAGGCCTACTGTATATACTCGCCTATAACATGGGACCGGTGTGGTGTGTGTGTGTGTGTGTGTGTGTGTGTGTGTGTGTGTGTGTGTGTGTGTGGTTTACTTCGACTCCAAAATCAGCCCATTTTTTGGTAGGCCGCACATATCATACGAGGTGAATTTCTGACATACTGGAGGAGGGCCCCAACATGCATGAAGTCAAGTTCCACAAGTCAATGTACCACTAGTGGGCTTAAAGCTGGACTCATAATCTTCTCCTCTTAACTAGGTGGTTTTTTTCCTCCCCTATCCACACAAATTTTTCTTCCTCTTCCGACTGACCCCCATGACTCGAACTACCGGTTGTGAAAAAAAAACCCATCAAGCAGCCGTCAAATGTTCAGAAAATTGGCAATTGTTTCATGGGATATCCCATTTGGTCACTACTTCTCCTTTATTGTTCCCAATCATGGCTGTACGTCACTTATAATACATGTAGTATACTTTTGGACCTCATTTTTTTAAAGAGTCGATCATAATATAGGCAAGTATACACGCGTGTTACATATGTGCAAAAACTTGAATCCTTCATTTGGGAATAAGTCTGTTCGCATTTTACAAGGTCCCTGAGAATACGACGCACTCCAGAAATACGATGAAAACATCATTGGATCATTACAACGGAAGTCAGGGCAAGGCTTTTCTAAGCAGCTTCAAGGTCAGAAAGGCACACACGTGGGGAGTAAACGGAACAATATTCAAAAACAAGTCAGGCATAGCTTCTATCCGCACAGAAACGCAAAAAAAGAATGCTTTTCCTCACTCGAGAAAACAGAACTATGCTCATTGGCTACGAGTAGAAAGAATTTGTCCTATAACACCCAAGAAAGTAAAAACTTTTAAAACAAACTTTTAGCGAGAGCTCCAACAAGACATTTGCGATACAATTAGGTCATAGAACTGCCGAAGATTACAGGTATTGCCTGATAGTAATGTACACAGAATAGAAAGAGACGACAGGTGTTTGGTAGGAAAGAAAGAGAAAACCATACCATAGCACCCACTAACCACCCACAAGTAAAGCCAGAGCCTGGTCATGATGAAGGGCCTCATTCAGATAATAACCAAGGTACTTCTGTGCCGTACTTCTTGACCAGATGACAAGGACATGTGGTTACTTGAGGGAGGCACTGCGCTGCCAAGAGCGAAAAGCTCGAAGCTAAAGGGATGTGAAAACAACAATATGCCGTACTTCATTCTTTCTTTTTTGTACATAATTACAAACAAAATCCACAAATGGAAAAACATCTTTCTTGACATTGGACGACCCCCCTGACAAGTAAAATGAGACTCGCATCATAATGTACATTCTACAAACACTTTACACGAACAAGAGTACTTGTTCTAGTGCCACCATCAAACTTTCCATCATAATACAAATACCTTGAAACAGAAATCTTATGTCATGTGAACTGTATGAGTTTTACGGCACTTGTAACACAATAAGGTCATATAAGTGCAGAAGATTAGAGGTGTTACAAGAGAGTAACAAACACAAAAAAGAAGGAGGAGAGATAAGGACGATAGATGTTCGATAGGAGAGAAGGAGCAAACCACACCAGAGCACCCGCCAACCACCCACCATGTGAACTGATGAGCACAGGCGGGGAAAACAATACTGTGTCGGCAAAAAATATACCAATTTGTCAAACAGGATTTCAGCTTCCAAATATTTGACGAAGGCCAGAATTTTGTCAGCCTCAACAAATTAACACGCTCACAGCTAAATCAACGGGACCCAAAAATATTTTCTATAAGCAGGGATTTCACTACGTACTGTACATGTTCTGAATACAAAGAAAATAATGTAGGCGACAACAAAAACTTCAGGAGAGAAAAGTTCGTCTGCTATGTGCGGGCTAGAGGGTGTATGAAACAGAAACAGACAAAACTATTTGTTTCTAAGATTTTTTTAGTAAGAGTTTTACGGCACTTGCAACACAATAAGGTCATACTAGTGCCGGAGATTAGAGGTGTTACAAGAGAGTAACAAACACAAAAAAGAAGGAGGGAAGATAGAGATGATAGATTTTTCACAGGAAAGAAGGAGCAAACCACACCAGAGCACCCGCCAAGCACCCACTGTTTCTACGAGTGGGCGGCCCACGTGGACTTCTTCCGTGCAACAGTATTTTATTTTATTTCTTTTCCCTCCACGAAATCCAAAAGTCTCTATGCGAACCGTAGTTCTGTTGCTTCTATTTCCAGTACCGGTGTGATAATTGTCCAGCAGTCAGGAGCGAGCGACAAGATCAACAAACATGCCAACCTCAACATGGCACAAGGAAAATAAAATCTATACATCGCTCTCCTTCCAGCTGCAATTAAAATTCTACACAAGCGACCTTTCTCGGTAACTTTTCACCTACATCAACAAGCATGAATATATGACATGAATCTTTACATGCCCTGTCCATGTGTCAATCATCACACAAACACTCACGCACAACTCAAATAAAAAAAATATTTTAAAATTCAAAGCGATGAATGGTTCCCAAATACAGGATACAACTCACAGACAAGTTCCAGCATGGTTTAACATCTTACGATTAGTAGCTTTTTAGGCACAAGGGGGCTATTCCAAAAATTTGCTGTTTTGAGAAAATCGAAGGTAAAGTTTTTGGACCCTTGTTCCGCTTCTTTAAAAGACAAGGAGTGTTTTTCTATAAGCAAACAAATATACACACCATTGAAACCAAACTTCTCCTATAGGTAGGGCAATGCCCACTTTTGGTGTAGGTCAAGATTTCTAGAAACCCCCGAAATCTGGGTTAGCCCGCTTGTCCTTAACATGTCACAATTGTTGAGCACTAAGCAGCATAAAACCTTCTGACAGAAATATTACACACCAACTCTCACCCGATTTGTTTGCTAGACGGATAGTTTGTCACAATTTCCACTACTCTCGGTTGCTTAATCTAAGAAGATCCCGACACTAACCCATATAGCCCTTCCTCCCGACTTGTCCAGTAACGGAGAATGTTTCCGAGTGTCCTAGTTCTAGGGTTGTGCTAGGGCAATAACATAGAATGTAAAACTTATATACAGAACTTTACAACTTTTCTTACCCAAGCAGACCCTTGAGCACTCACAAACATTCTCCGCTTCCTAGAAGGCTGTGAATGGCACACGCTCAGCTCAAACACTAACACACTAACAAGATCTTTCGCTGTCTATAGCCTGGTACCCATTTCCACCTGGGTAAAATGAGGAAAGTTTGCATAAAATACCCATCCCAGGGACACAACGTCAAATCCCTCACCGGACTTGAACCCACGACTTTACGGTTGCGAGTCCAACAGCCTAACCTCCAGGCCATCACAGTCACAGATTAAGAAACCGAGAAAAAAATAAAAATAAAAACCTTTGGGAGCAGCACATCGGAACAGTTGGTCGATGGTATTGATCTACACTATAGGGGGGGGGGGGTGTCACTACACGACATGTGCGGGAACCGGGAGGAATGAGACAACATCGGCTGTTCATTTATTCCCACAACATCAAACCTAAAACAACATTGAACCATAACAAACATCACACACCACTTCCATACAAAATCAAACCTAGACTGATTCTAATATAAGCCGACAAATTATGCACATGGACAGAAGGGGGGGAAAAAAAAGAATGATAATTACAACAAAAATAATAAAACAACACAAATGTGGTACCAAAAAGGCAAATAGGACGGTTGCTGCCTGGTACAAAACTTGAACACTATTGGCAAATTTTTTAAAATCTAAAAAAAAAAAAAAAATTTACAAAAAGAAGAGTCGGTCGGAGAGGCATTCGGCGGGCTCCTTGTGGATGTTCTCTCCCACTAGATAGGCCAGCTTGTGAGCATACTGGAAAACACACAAAAGGAAGACCATATAACATTGTGTCACATAATGCTGTGAGCATACTGGAAAACACACAAAAGGAAGACCATATAACATTGTGTCACATAATGCTGTGAGCATACTGGAAAACACACAACAGGAAGACCATTTTATATTGTGTCACATAATGCTGTGAGCATACTGGAAAACACACAACAGGAAGACCATTTTATATTGTGTCACATAATGCTGTGAGCGTACTGGAAAACACACAACAGGAAGACCATTTTATATTGTGTCACATAATGCTGTGAGCATACTGGGAAACACACAAAAGGAAGACCATATAACATTGCGTTACGACTTATAGTTCTGTTGAGCATACTGAAAAACACATCAACGTAAGACAATTTCATATTGAGTCCCACCTTATAGTACTGTGAAAATACTGAGAAATACATCAAAGGAAGACCATATAGCTTTTTTAAAGTTTTAATAACAGTTTTACGGCACTTGCAACACAATAAGGTCACATAAGTGTCGAAGAATAGATGTGCTACTAGAGAGTAACAAACACAAAAAAGGAGGAGGAGAGATCAGGAAGATAGATGTTTGATAGGAAAGAAGGAGCAAGCCACACCAGAGCACCCGTCAACCACCCACGATGATATAACATAGTTTCACCACTTCTAATACTGTGAACATACTGAAAAACACATCAACGGAAAACAATTTAACATTGTGTCAACACTTATAGTACTCTAATGTCCATAATGTGATGGGTATCGAACTCCCCACCAAATCCAAGGATGTTCAAGGAGATTTCAAAGAGGTCAAGGAGATTTCAAGGAGGTCAAGGAGGTTTCAAGGAGGTCAAGGTGATTTCAAGGAGGTTTCAAGATTTCAAGGAGATTTCAAGATTTCAAGGAGATTTCAAGGAGGTTTCAAGGAGGTTTCAAGGAGACTTCAAGGAGATTTCAAGGAGACTTCAAGGAGATTTCAAGGAGGTTTCAAGATTTCAAGGAGATTAAAGGAGGTTTCAAGATTTCAAGGAGATTTCAAGGAGGTTTCAAGGAGACTTCAAGGAGATTTCAAGATTTCAAGGAGGTTTCAAGGAGGTTTCAAGATTTCAAGGAGGTTTCAAGATTTCAAGGAGATTTCAAGGAGGTTTCAAGATTTCAAGGAGATTTCAAGGAGATTTCAAGATTTCAAGGAGGTTTCAAGAATTCAAGGAGATTTCAAGGAGGTTTCAAGGAGATTTCAAGGAGATTTCAAGGAGGTTTCAAGATTTCAAGGAGATTTCAAGGAGGTTTCAAGATTTCAAGGAGGTTTCAAGATTTCAAGGAGATTTCAAGGAGGTTTCAAGATTTCAAGGAGATTTCAAGGAGATTTCAAGATTTCAAGGAGGTTTCAAGAATTCAAGGAGATTTCAAGGAGGTTTCAAGGAGATTTCAAGGAGATTTCAAGGAGGTTTCAAGATTTCAAGGAGATTTCAAGGAGGTTTCAAGGAGATTTCAAGGAGATTTCAAGGAGGTTTCAAGATTTCAAGGAGATTTCAAGGAGGTTTCAAGATTTCAAGGAGATTTCAAGGAGATTTCAAGATTTCAAGGAGGTTTCAAGAATTCAAGGAGATTTCAAGGAGGTTTCAAGATTTCAAGGAGATTTCAAGGAGATTTCAAGGAGGTTTCAAGATTTCAAGGAGATTTCAAGGAGGTTTCAAGGAGATTTCAAGGAGGTTTCAAGATTTCAAGGAGGTTTCAAAGAGATCAAGGAGATCAAGGAGGTTTCAAGGAGATTTCAAGGAGGTTTCAAGATTTCAAGGAGGTTTCAAGGAGATCAAGGAGGTTTCAAGATTTCAAGGAGGTTTCAAGATTTCAAGGAGGTTTCAAGATTTCAAGGAGGTTTCAAGGTTTCAAGGAGATCAAGGAGATTCCAAGGAGACTTCAAGGAGGTCAAGGACAAATTTTTAAAATTCAAGATTTGTTTGGTCAGGAAATTCAGGCCATTTTTTACGGCGTACTCTTTTCTGAAAGGAATCGTATTTCGATTATCCTACAAAAATTTTGTTCACGTCTGATCCGACGAAAGTCAAGAAAGAGTTTTCCAGGACATTTTTCCTTGAATGTAAATTCAAGGAGTTTTCAAGGACTCCTTGAATTCAGTTAGATTTAGTTAAAGTTTTATGGCACTTGCAACACAATAAGGTCATACAAGTGCTGAAGAAAAGAGGTTTTACAAGAGAGTAACATACACAAAAAAGGAGGAGAGGTAAGGACGATAGATGTTTGATAGGAAAGAAGGAGCAAACCACACCAAAGCACCCGGCCCACGAATGTTTTTATTTGAGGGAACAAGGGATGTTTCTTGTCTTAAAAAAATGGAATTATTTTTTTTGTGCAAGCTGTTACATGTACAATTCATCAAAGTAGGGGAAGGTAGATGTTGAAATTTTACATGCTTTCCGCGTTAACCCTATCCATATGTCCTGGGATCATTTTGTACCCCCGGGGTTGTATTCTTCACATTTTAGAATACTTCTAGCACAAAGATCTCTTTGAAACTTTCAGTATTTCTCAAAAAATCACTTTGACAGACTGCTAAGCAAAGCATGCGGATCGGATTAACGATTAAATTTCCTCTTTGGAAAGTGGTGGCACAGAGTTCCCCACGTCGTATGGATACAATAGTAAAATACGACGTACGGATAGGGTTAAGTGGTGGCACAGAGTTCCCCACGTCGTATGGATAACACGATAGCAAAACACGACATACGCATAGGGTTAATCGATTTACTTTCACTCACCTGACAAGGGGCGGGGACTCTGACGGTGCCCGGCCAGTTGTAGTAGAGGTGAGTCATCTTGTAGGTGAGCGCCTGCATGTGGTCGGGCTTGAGCTGCAGGCCGTCGTCTACCACGATGTAGTGGGTGGGGCTCACCGTGCCCTGACGCACGTGCTGTGACACGATGAAGTAGTCGTACCTGACACACACACAGACCAGGTGTTACACAAAAGACACAATGAAGTAGTCGCACCTGACACACATGACAAGCACACACACACCAGGTGTTACACAAAAGGCACGGTGCTCTGCTCCCTTACCAAAGTAGTAGCAATGATAATAATAATACTAATAATACTAATACTACTACTACTAATTATTATAATACTAATACTAATAATAGTAATAATAAGAATAATAAAAGATTGCATTTATATAGCACTTTATCCCATACGAGTCTAAGCTCTGAGCACTTTACGTCAATCACATGGTCAATGAGCGTAACACTCCATTCACACAAGACAAAACATTTCACAGTAACAAGAAAACCTATTCTTCAACCGCATAATGAAGAAGTACCCACTTCACAAAATATACCACCGTAAAAACTCTGTACAACACGCCTGCCCACACCTCCATGACCAAAAATAGGATGTAGAATCATTTTAAAATTTGCTGCCGCTCAGGATTAACTCACTTGTGACTGGGCCCTTTCACCAGTCACAAGCGTTGAAGACTGGCGTTTTTGGGGGTATTTCAATAAATTACCACAACTCTCAGAATTACCCTATTGTAATCATTTTTTGACACAGTAAAGTAACATTCAAGCTTAATTTAATAAAAAAAACTAAAGTTGTCTAAGTCTAATACTTTAATTTATTTGATCTTTTTAAAATTGGCATGAATTTGATTTTCCGAAAAATTTCCAAAGACATGACAAGTAGAATGAAATTCACTGCAACAACAAAAATAAAAGTTCAAAGTGTTCTGGTTTGATTTGTATACATGTGCGAGTGTTTGGTGAAAATATAAAAGCTGGTCTGTGCATTGATTCAGACCCATATACTGAATTCATAGCTGCCACTCAGAAATTTTAAAAAAGGAGGAAATTCACGCGAAGGCGTACGCGCGCTCTCCGAAACCAGTGAGATCCAGAGGCAATATATACTGGAAAATCTAGCCTATGGTTTTGGAAGGGAAAACTGTCATATTGTTAACCATAGGCAACTGAATTAAAATGTATTTGAAAAAAACAACAACAAACAAACAAACATAAAGGCAGTAAGTTGACTAACAAGAATTCGAGTCAATTTGACAGTTTGGACTTGGTGACTAAAAATCCAGTGTTTTTTTGCCAGCTGGTGTCTTATAAAAAGATTTCTTTCTCTTTAAACGTGTACATAGATAGACGTAGAGCAGTGTCGGATCAAGGATACACAGGCACTCCTGTACAATGGCGGTCCAGTTTGCACTTAGTGCCCCTGTAGTGTGTTTCTTATTTAGAGATAAACTGAATTAAAATTATAGCCTAGGCTATCTAATCTAGATCTAGATATATCTAAATATGTGTAGATCTAGATTATATCTCGATCTAGAGACAGATTTTCTAGATCTAGATCTAGATTCACTTCCGCAGCAGCCCCAATAGCCGTCATGTAAACAAACGGGACCGCAATTGTAATTGTACAGGAGTGCCGCGGGCCGCGATTTCTTTTGCAAAAAACGGCTAGATCTAGATCTAGATCTAGTTCAATTTTCTAATGAACTTTTCAAGTCGCACACCGGCTGCTTCTTTCTCATTCCAGCTCCTTTTATTTTTACATTCTGAATCAATTTCTCTCGAATTTCCGCCAATTTCAATGACAACTCGGCGCGCTAACGCCCCGATGCCCGATCGACACTGTGTTGCTCCACAACAATAAACAATGTGAAACTAGCGCTGGGCCTAGAAGAACGGAAGTAGAAAGCTACGGGCAGACATGCGCAAACCGCGTTTTCGTCTCTCTCCCGGGTCGGTGTTTTCCGCGGGGGAAAAAAAGTATGAAATTTGCGACCAAGAGCGGTCCAGCGGAGGAAGGAGGAAAGTTGCGGGAAAAGCTAGATGTAGCGGAGTTTCCGCTATTTAGCGGGAAAGTGGCAGCTATGTGAATTACATGAGACAGATGTACGGCACGACGTTGTGATTTCGTTGCGCGAAAAACAACACCGGTACTAGTGCTAGATCTAGCCCTAGAACTACGACTCGGGCCGTGTTCGGGTACATATCCAGGATCCTAACTATTAAACTCATCATATTCTGAGACACTAGAACTAGTAAAACGCACAGAAGTATAGAAAACGGTGAAATTATGTGATTCTTGTTCATGCGACTTCTTCGACCGTTACTACGACGCGACTGTCGGATTACTATGAGCTGTATAGTAAAAAACAAAGCGCGAGTTCCGGTCTGTTCAACCCCAGTTGGGATCACTGTCCTTCACCTTCAATAACTTAAAAACTACTGGCCACAGAGATACGAAACGAAGTCTAAGTAGCTCAGGCTTGGCCAAACAAGGGTACGAGGCGGGTCTCGCGATCCGTGCGTGATTTGTAGAGCGAAAAAAAAATTCCAAATTGGTCACGCAGGGCTTGTGAGACCCGTCGCGAGCGTCGCGGCGGGGGTCACGCAACTGTTGTGTGACCCGTCTGAAGTGGTTAAACTTAGGGTTTAAAATTTTAAAAATAATTATGGCAAGTAAAAACTTATTTCATATATTCAGAATCAGCGCCTCAAAATAAGCAAACTTGCTCTTGGGGAACCCGATGTGATGCGTTTATGTAAATTTTAGCAATTTTATTATTTAGTCGATCGTCAATGGTGAAGTTGTGTATCAAGGTCACCCAGTGCGTTGCACATCTGCAGTCGGTTCAATGACTAGGAATCTCGCTGATCGAAAGAAAACTGGACGATAGATTGGAACGTCTAAACAGACTACACAGCTCGATAAAACGGACAGTTCTCGCATACGATGAATCTGACACAATTAATTTATTGTTTATGTAACCGGAGCTTCAGGCTTATCCTTTTGTTTTATGTTTTAGCAGAGGTTTTACGGCGCTCGCAACTGCATATGGTCATATGAGCGCCAGAAGTTCAGAGGTGTTACAAGAGAGTAACAAACATAAAAAAGAAGAAGGGGAGATAAGGACGATAGATGTTTGATAGGAAAGAAGAAGCAGACCACACCAAAGCACCCGTCAACCACCCACTGGCTTATCTTTCTTGTGTGAAAAATGTTAAGAACTCAGGGAACAGGCGTATGATTAGTAGGTGTCCAACTTTCAGCGATGAGAGAAACAAAGAAGGAGAAAAAAGTACCCACCTGTCCCGCCGAGTGACCGTGTGATCCACGACGGTGCCCGGACCTGGATTGTCCACACCCCCGTCTCCCTCCTGAGGAAAACCAACATTTTTAAAATCTCAGCGACATTCATACATATACAAATAGCTTCTTCTTCCCCCCAACGAAATACACACAAAAAACAACTGAAGATGGGAGTAAATCAAACACAGCACTGCCCTGGTGCAATGAATGTTGCAGCCAGGGCGTTTTAACAGAACTCACATCCTACACATAACCAACAAAAATGACCAAACTTTAACGAGAGCGTTCAACAGAAACTATATCTGAAACGTAACCAACAAAAATTATCTTACTTTAACCAGAGCGTTCAACAGACGAAATTAAATTGATTAACCCCATCCGTATGTCATGTTTTACTATCGTATCCATATGATGTGGGGAACTCTGTGCCACTACTTTCCAAAGAGAAAATTTACTCGTTAATCAGATTCGTACGCTTTGAATAGCAGTCTGCCAAAATGATTTTTTGAGAAAAACTGAAAGTTTCAAAGAGATCTTCGTACTAGAAGTATTCTAAAATGTGAAGAATATAACCCCGGGGGTACAAAATGACCCCCCGGCTGTACGGATAGGGTTAACAAGATCTCATATCCAAAACATCCGAACCAACATAGACAATCTTACTTTGCTGAAGATGCGGGTGTTGATTCGCTTCTGTACGACCACGGTGGAGCACAGCGGCTGATAGCCCTCGCCAAAGCTGAGGAAGCAGCGATGTAGCTGTTTCACCTCATGGTCAGCCAGGGTGTTCAGCTGACCGTCCCCCACACCGTCACGGAATATGACAATTTTTTCAGGAAGGAAGTGGTTATCCTGGAGGGGAAATCATAATAATGATGATGATAAGAAACAGACATTTATATAGCCCCCTACCCCACTACCATTGTAAATGACCAAGACAAAGTTCTCCCTGCTTTTAAAAGTTTTAGTAGAGGTTTTACGGCGCCTGCAACTGCATAAGGTCATATGAGTGCCAAGGGGTGGATGTCAACAGAGAAGTCCTTGCAGGGAATCAGGCTTACTCTGCTCACCTCTCTAGCTTCAACAGCACAAAGTCTGCTTCAACTATCAAGGCACCCCGGAAATAGCGGGTCACAAGAGTGAGATAAACATACAAAAGAAGTAGAGGGATATGACAATAGTAAGGATTAGGAAAAAAAAAGCAGCAGTTCCCTGTTGTAGATCAGGCACAGTTATGAGCGTGACATTGATGAATCAGCCCAGTTACAATTCTACTGTGCATGAACGAGAAATGTCCCCCTTTGAGAATGGCCGAAAGGCACTTCAGTCAGTGGCACTGCCCTGGGGGGTCCAAAGAGTTTTACGGCACTTGCAACACAATAAGGTCATATAAGTGCCGAAGATTAGGTGTTACAAGAGAGTAGCAAACACAAAAAAGAAAAACGGGGAGATAAGGACGATAGATGTTTGATAGGAAAGAAGAAGCAAACCACACCAGAGCACCCGCCAACCACACACTGTTTCCATCTGTCTCTCTTACTTTTTCCCAGCACTCAAAGACCATCATTGTGGCGATGTGCTTCTCTTTACTCAAACAAAATAAACAAATAATAATAATAATAAATAGCATTTGTATAGCGCAAGTCCCCACTTTTCAGCAAGCTCTATGCGCTTTACACTATATTATTACTACCCCAGCAGACCACAGAATACTCAGAAACATTCTTAACTTCCCGGGAAGCATACAGTGCAAGCAGCTGGTTAAGCGCTCAAACACTAACAAACTGACAAAATCTTTCACTGTCTATAGCTGGGTATCCATGTTCACCTGGGTGAAGTGAGGAAACTAAATTCGTGTAAAGTGCCTTTCCCAAGGACACAACGTCGGGCCCGCCGCTCAAAGCCCCGAACTCGCAACCACACGATTACGAGTCCGGTAGCCTAACCACTAGGCCACCGACACCACAACCTCACAATTACGAGTCCGGTAGCCTAACCACTAGGCCACCGACGCCACAACCTCACGATTACGAGTCCGGTAGCCTAACAACTAGGCCACCGACGCCACAACCTCACGATTACGAGTCCGGTAGCCTAACCACTAGACCACCGACGCCACAACCTCACGATTACGAGTCCGGTAGCCTAACCACTAGGCCACCGACGCCAACAAACAAACAGAAAACTCTGGTGTACAGTACTGACCGCGTGGAACTTGCGCAGTCCCTTGGTAAGACAGAGCTGCAGTCCGTGGACCAGTTCCTCCCCCTGTCGCTGTATGCAGACGTTGGAGAACCAGCGCGTGCACGTCGCGTTCAGACTACACACGAAGCCTCCCACAGACTGTTTGCCGCGCGCGTTGTCGTGGAAACTGTCGATGCCCACAACCATCAGACTTTTCTGCGAGAATCAAATAAAGAAGGAAAGAAAAAAAAGCATAAATAAGACGGGTCACGTTTTTTATCTTAACACAATCGTGTAAAATCAGGCGCTTGTCAAAATGATGAAAATGAAGAATGGGGCATTTTTCCCGACAGTTGGGTAATTTTCATTGAATTTTTTTTTTTTGGCTTAACACCTTTTACGTTCATTTAAAAACAGATTTCAGTATGGATTTAACTAAAAAAACGTTGATTAAAGGTACAAAAAAAAGTAGATTTTCAGTTTCCAAAGTTTCTGAAGCTAGGGAATTCACCAAATTTTGGCCGCCATTTTCTTGCTTATATTACCTTTGTTGTTGTTGTTAGCGATCCAGTAGCATTTATTTTACCTTTGTAACACGGCGATCCCCTCTACCTTCAATCACCAATATCTCAAGATAAATTGGTATTTTTTAAATTGAAAGGAAAAAAAATGAACAAGCTTTAAGATGATACCGAAAACTCCACATGCCCAAAAAATAAGAGCACCTGATTCCACCGCGTCGCGACACATATATCAAAAGTGAACAACATACAATATTCATGTATTGCAACACAATAAGCTCATATAAGTGCCGAAGATTAGAGGTGTTACAAAAGAGTCACACACACAAAAAAGAAGGAGAGATCAGGACGATAGATGTTTGATAGGAAAGAAGGAGGAGAGATCAGGACGATAGATGTTTGATAGGAAAGAAGGAGGAGAGATCAGGACGATAGATGTTTGATAGGAAAGAAGGAGGAGAGATCAGGACGATAGATGTTTGATAGAAACGAAGGAGCAAAAGAATTTCTCTAATCTCATCTTTATCTTCAACAACACGTGTAAAAGTTACACAGCTCTTTCACGCCACTAAAGCACAAAACAAAAACCAAACCCACTCACCAGCGGAATCTTCACGGCCCACAGCTCTCCGCCCAGCTTGCAGTTGATCTGCAGCGCAATCTTCTGAACCACGCTGCGCATTTTCTCTGGCTTGGATATTGTCCTTGCTACAATCACCTGTGGAACAACAAAAGGACGACCGACTCGTTCATAAGCGAAACAAAACTTCCAAAGGTGGGAAATTCCGTATAAGGCAAGACAGATAAGATGAGTTGTTGATCTCCACAAAGAGAACTTTGCTGTAGCATGGTGAAAACACAATAAACTTACTCATCTACACACTCTTTGTCATCTGTCTGTCTGTGCGTCTCTCTCACTCTCTTTTCTCTTTCTCGCTCGCACGCACACATACCCCACCCTCAACCCTCAAACAGAAAGAGTTAATTTTTCTGACATGCACATGACAACTTCATGAAGAAAAGGAAGAAAAGGGAAAGTGATTTTAGTAAGAGTTTTGCGGCACTTGCAGCACAATAAGGTCATATAAGTTCCCAAGATTAGAAGTGTTACAAGAGAGTAACAAACACAAAAAAAAGAAGGAAGGGAGATAAAGAGGATAGATGTTTTGGTTTAGTAGAGGTTTTACGGCGCTCGAAACTGCATAACGATAGATGTTTGATAGAAAAGAAGAAGCAAACCACACCAAAGCACCTGCCAACCACCCACTCTGTTCATGTTTTAAGCCTAGAGAGCAACATTTTTTCACAGCAAAGAAAATTATTTCATTCTTTTTCAAAATTGCACCTCAACCATGCATCTTTTCAACCCCCCCCCCCCCCCCCCCCCCCCCCCCCAACATTTAGAATTTAGATTTTGACAAAATATTTTTTGAGCACATACAACCGATACAACAGATCAAGAGACAGCTTCTTCTTCTTCTTCCTCGTTCTCGATGACAGCAGCTAGACAGTCAGTCCGATGTCGCGTACAAACTGTGTAGTACGCTTCAACTCTGAAAGACTGCCATAGAGTTATCTCTCAAGGGGAGCCACATTCTGCCAGGTCTGTGAGCGAAGGGTGGCGTAGCGCGGGCAGTGCTGAAGGACATGGTTGGCGTCCTCTTGGTCGTGTCCACATTCACAGGTCGCTGTTTCTCCCACTTTTAATTTGGTGTGCATATTATGATCTGTTGTGGCCACAACGGAGTCGAAAGATTGTGACTTGGTCTGCTCTATTTAGTATGTAGTAGGGGTCATGTCTGTTGTGCTTAGGGTGGGACCTTTTCCATCTGTTTCTTAAAGCAGTTTTTATTAGTGTTTTTGACTCTGAGAGATCCATGGCATCTTCAATCTGGGTCATTTTGGCTCCTTCTTTGGCTAAGCCATCTGCTTTTTCATTTCCATGAATGCCACAGTGACCTGGTATCCACTGCAGAGTTGTGTTGGCAAGAGACAGCAATTTTCTTTTAAAGAAAAAATTTGGGGCCTAGTACACCGAAACAGATGAGCGACGAAATGGACGCTTTTAAGGACAAGCGAGCTAATCCAGATAGATTTCGGGGGGTTCCAGAAATCTTGACCTACACCAAAAGTGGGGCATTGCAATACCTATTGGAGAAGTTTGGTTTCGTTGGTGTGTATATTTGTTAGGTTATAGAGAAAACTCTCCCTGTCTTTTAAAGAAACGGAACAAGGGTAAAAAAACTTTATCTTCGATTTTCTCAAAAACATCATTTTTCGGGATAGCCCCCCAGTGCTTAAAAACCCAATATGACTTGACCTAGTGACAGAACTCACCTGAGAGGGCACCGGAGCTTCCACACAGCACACTTTCTTTATCGCCGAGTAGCGATCGTCTCGGCTGGTCGGATTGATCACCACAACTAGCTGAACCTGAAGAGAGCAGAGAGCACCCCCATGTCACACAGAATGGCGCAGACAAGACAAGACAAGACAAGACAAGACAAGACAAGACAAGACAAGACATCATCATCATCATCAAAGTCCACACACTTTTCCTTTTTCTTATTTTTTTCATCTTGCGTTGTGTATAAAGATTATTTAATTAAAGTGTAATACATGTCTTTTTTTTTTAAGATTAAAATACAAATAAATTATGCATAAGCAGGGGTATATTACAAAATCCTGAAAATTTCAGAAATCTGGATTTCATGATTTAACCGGATAACAGGCACCTCTGATCCCCCAAATCTGTCCATGATTTCATCAGAAAAAATAATGAAGAAACAAAAATAAAATGAGTCTTTCTCAGCAACATTTACTGCAACAGAACCGAAGTCTGGCAAACAACTGTGCTGCAAAACTGACCAAACAGGGATTTTTTGGGTGCTTTGTTTAGTTTTGTTTTAGTTATAAAAGTTTGACAGCACTTGCTACACAAACAAGTCATATTAGAGCCAAAGATAAGAGGTTTTACTAGAGAGCAACATACAAAGAAAAGAAGAAGGTAGATGAATGAGGACGACAGATATTTGATTGGAAAGGAGTGAACCACACCAAGAGTCTCTGCCAACCACCCACTTTCTGGGTGCTAGTTTTAGTTTTAGTATGAGTTTTACAGCACTCGCAAAACATTAAGGTCACTTAAGTGCCAAAGAGTAGAGGTGTTACAAGAGAGTAACAAACATAAAAAAGAAGGAGGAGGGATCAGGACGATAGATGTTCGAAAAGAAAGAAGGAGCAAACCACACCAGAGCATCCGCCAACCACTCACAGATTAGAGGTTTTACTAAAGAGCAACATACAAAGAAAAGAAGAAGGTAGATGAATGAGGACGACCGATATTTGATTGGAAAGGATTGAGCCACACAAGAGCCCCTGCCAACCACCCACTTTCTGGGTGCTAAATTCAGGTGAGATGATCCACAGAGCATGAACAAACAACGTACCTTGTCATCTATCGATCTCCTCAGCTCCTGCACCAACGTTTCAATCTTTTCATTGACCAGTTCTTTCCGGAACGGAGCCTGACACCTGATGCCCATGTTGCGCGTCTCTGACTGCATGTGGCGCACAAACTCGTTGGCCTTCGCCGCGTCGCGCCGGGTGAAGAAGATGCCCCAGTTCTGCAGGTTGACGGGGCAGATGAGCTCGTTGCGAGTGGCTTCACGTGACCAGTCGGCCTGGTTGCCCGCCGAAAACTCTTTCTTCCCCATGTAGATGGTCTCTGGCGCCAACCTTCTGCCGGCAATCTGAAAAAAACAAAAAAAAATTAGTTCAGTAACAGTTTTACAGCACTTGTAAGTCACCCAAGGCAGTGATGGTGATGTAAGTAAAGACAATTAGGTCATAAAGCGCAGAAGATTGAAGGTGTTACATGAGAACATATACAGAAAAGAAGGAGAGATAAGGACTATAACTGTTTGATAGCAAAGAAGAAGCAAACCACACTGTAGCACTCCAAAAGAACCACAAAAGAAAAAAATAAAAAATTGTTTAACTTAACCGATTAAATCTCAACAGTTTCATGATCAGTCTGTTTTAGTCAGAGTTTTGCGGCGCTTGCAATACAATAAGGGCATATAAGTGCTGAAGACTGGGTGTTACAAGAGAGTAACATACACAAAAAAGGGGGACAGATCAGGACGATAGACGTTTGATAGGAAAGAAGAAGCTCAAGACCTGTCTTATGTTGTATTTTTAAAAACAAACTCTTTTTAAAATGGATAAGTAACATTAATAACCAAAGGATTGCATAAGAATTTTACTCCGTCTTAAATTTTCTCCCAAGAAAGGAGTGCAACTAGAAGTAACATACCAAAAAAAAGGAGAAAGACAGATAAGGACAAAAGATATTTCATAGAAAAGAAGGAGCACACCACACCAGAGCACTCATCAACCACCCATCCAGGAACCATACAGGTCTATACATAACGATTATACATAACGACAAAACTGACAGTAGACTTTAAACATAACGACAATACTGACAGTAGACTTTATACATAACGACATCACTCACATCAACGGTGGATTTCTCAATTTCCAGGCCCCATGTTGCCAGTTCGGCACAAGCCTCGGGACTCCTGTTGACGCTGTTGACAAACTTCTTCATGGCCAGCTGGCGTTGAGCCGGGGTCACCCTCGTGTGGACAGCCAGGTCCTGAGGAATTCAGACGGACACATGGTTTGAGCGTGTTTGTTTTTTTTATAGTTTTAGTGGAGGTTTTACGGCGCTCGCAACTGCATAAGGTCAAATGAGCGCCAGAAGATTAGAGCTGTTACAAGAGAGTAACAAACATAAAAAAGATGAAGGGAGATAAGGACGATAGATGTTAGATAGGAAAGAAGAAGTAAATCACACCGGAGCACCTGCCAACCACCCACGTTTGTTTGAGTAAGTAGGTTTTACGGCGCTCGCAACTGCATGAGGTCATATGAGCATCAAGGTGCGGAGGTCAACAGAGAAGTCCTTACAGGGAATCAGACTTATTCTGCTCACCTCTCTCGCTTCAGCAGCACAAAGTCTGCTTCGACTATCAAGGCACCCAGAAAATAGCGGGTCACAAAAGTGTGACAAACATACAAAAGATGTAGAGGAAAAATGAAGATAGTAAGGATTAGGAAAGAAAAAGCAGCAGTTCCCTGTTGCAGTTCAGGCACAGTTATGAGCATGACATGGATGAATCAGCCGATTTACAATTACAATTCTACTGTGCATATGAACATGATCAATGTCCCCCCTTTGGGAATAGCCTAAAGACCCTTCAGTAGCACCGCCACGGGGGTAGGCATGAGGTTGAGAGGTTGAGAGGTTGAGAGAGAGAGGTTGAGAGGTTGAGAGAGAGAGAGAGAGAGAGAGAGGGAGGGAGGGAGGGAGGGAGGGAGGGAGGGAGGGAGGGAGAGAAAGAGAGAGAGAGAGAGAGAGAGAGAGAGAGAGAGAGAGAGAGAGAGAGAACGGAAATGTTTTTCTTTCTGTATAGAATTAATGTTTTAATGAATGTTTCTAGTTACTCACATTTCAACTTTTATTTTGACAGTTCGTGAATTTTTATTACATTGTATATTTTTAGTGAACACATTTTCAACCTCACTGCGAGACTGTTTTTCTGGTATAAAATTTTACACATATGCATTTATATTATATGTATAATACTTTGTTTTACGTACACACTTGTCGATTAATTTTTAAGATGTGATGTCTTTTTCACTGTCATGCGCATTGAGCATCTTTTAGGAAATGGAAATGCACAGTATAAATGCTATTTATTATTATCTTCTAAACATCGACAACATCTAGTGTCTATGTCAGGCATGGGTTTACAGGTCCCTGCAAGCAATCTCAGTCCCACGTGCGAGCCAACCCAGGAGTTACTAATAAATGTGGCCCATAGTGAGGTGACAATTAGACACAACTGCCCATTTCAAAAATTAAAACTGGAAGCAACAGAGCTAATATTTTACCTCACAAAATGCCTGAGATTGACAATGCAACTGTATCAGTTTTGGTCTCACTTTTGAGAGCTTGGCCATTTCAGCTGATTTCCCCCAGTTTTCTCCTGATTTGCCCTGTGAGGTACTCGAAATTGCTTCATTCAGGCCGCAACTTGGACATGCCTGCCCATGCAGGAAACTATCAGAGTTGCGCACTTTCGAGAAAAAACGATGAAAGGCGTGCACTTTTTGACAATATCCATACAATCAAATTGCCGATTTCATCAAACACTTACACTAACCTTGACAAAATTACTCTGTACAGCCCCCATTCAAATATATTCGTGTTTCCAGACCATCATACTGACCCCATTCAAATATATTCGTGTTTCCAGACCATCATACTGACACTAACCAAATAGAAATTCACAACCAAGAAAATAAATGTTGGAATTTATAGAAATCTGAGCGGGGTCCACAAGCATCATATTGTCCATTCCATCTAGTAGAAAGACAATTCTATACAAAGTGCAAAATCCTAACAATTTCAGAATTCTAGATTTCGGGACTATCCACAAAATCAGCACCTCTGTGCGACGGTAAATTGAGATAACTTTGTCCCGGACTTACCTTCATCACCTGGAAGTCCTGCCGCATGTCGTCGGTGAGCCCACACATGTAGCACAGCTCGGGTATCAGGCACAGGAACTCAGGGTCCGGTTTCTCGCCAGGCTAGGGAAGAAGAAAAAAAATAATAAAAAGATAATAATAATAATAATAATGATAGATAGCAGTTGCATAGCACAAATCCCCGCTCAACAGCAAGTTCTATGCGCTTCACAATCTATACTATAACCCCAGCAGATCTGAGAGCATTCTGAAACAACCTCCGTTTTAGTTTTAGTAGAGTTTTTACGGCGCTCGCAACTGCATAAGGTCATATGAGCGCCAAGGGGTGGATGTCAACAGAGAAGTCCGTACAGGGAATCAGGCTTACTCTGCTGACCTCTGTGACTTCGACTATCAAGGCATCCCGGAAATGAAGTAGAGGGTAAAATGACGATAGTAAGGATTAGGAAAGAAAAAGCAGCAGTTCCCTGTTGTAGTTCAGGCTCAGTTATGAGCATGACATTGATAAACCAGCCCAATTACAATTCTACTGTGCATAAGAACATGTTAATGTTCCCCTCTTTGGGAATGGCCTAAAGACACTCGCCTCTGGTGTCTGACCCACAAGTCCGTGTGGCAAAATAAAACCTACCGGGGCTCCTTTGTCCGGCTTCCTCTTGTGCAGCAGAAGCGGCTGAGACTGGTTCTGGATGTCAATGTTGTGCTGGGTTCTGTTTGAGAGATAATAATAATAATAATAATAATAATAGATAGCATTTGTATAGCGCATACCCCCGCTCTACAGCAGGCTCTATGCGCTTTACACTATATTATTACCCGAACAGATCACAGAACAGAGAGAAACATTTTCAGCTTCCCGGGAAGCATACACTACAAGAGGCTGATAAAGCCCTAAAACACTAACAAACTGAGAAGATCTTTCACTGTCTATCGCTGGGTACCCATTCCCACCTGGATGAAGTGAGGAAATTCGTGTAAAGTGTCTTTTTTTCCCAAGGACACAACGTCGGGTCCTTGCACAAACACTTCCACTTTTTCTTCCATCCAGGCATGGAATGGACCGGTCTTGGTTTTCACCCTTTGAGCCCTTGCCATCGCGCGACCTCAAAGCTTTCTTGTCTATCTCCATTTTCAAGTAATTTAAAGTGAAAACAGTTTATAACAAAGAGAGAGCTAAAGAAGAAGTCACATTTTCACTGTCTAAAAAAATGGAGATACGACAAAAAAGCACTGAGTTCACGACCAGTAGAGGCGTGTAAAACTACCCGTATGCCAAGCCACCGGTACATCCGTGAGCCAGACCCCATCCCCAACCCGGCCTGCCTGAGACAAAACGGGTGCAGAAAACAGCGTTTGCTACAAAAGACTTTACAGATTATCAGGAAGATCTTTCTGAATTAGACACAGGTAATGACAAGGACTACCCAGTGGGATATGGAAAGTGATTCTGATGATCAAATGAATGTTAGTAATATATCACTCAGGAGCTCAGACAGAGGGGCACGGTAGCCTCAGGAGCTCAGACAGAGGGGCACGGTAGCCCCAGGAGCTCAGGCAGAGGGACACGGTAGCCTCAGGAGCTCAGACAGAGGGACACGGTAGCCCCAGGAGCTCAGGCAGAGGGACACGGTAGCCTCAGGAGGTCAGGCAGAGAGGCATGGTAGCCTCAGGAGGTCAGGTAGAGAGGCACGATAGCCTCAGGAGGTCAGGCAGAGAGGCACGGTAGCCTCAGGAGCTCAGACAGAGGGGCACGGTAGCCTCAGGAGCTCAGACAGAGGGGCACGGTAGCCTCAGGAGGTCGGACAGAGGGGCACGGTAGCCTCAGGAGGTCAGACAGAGGGGCACGGTAGCCTCACGAGGTCAGACAGAGGGGCACGGTAGACTCAGGAGCTCAGGGCTCAAAGGGTTAAACCCCTTTTCAATACTCTTTAAGTCTACCCAAGTGGCTGGACTTCTGATTCAAAGCCAACTCCAAAAGTTTAGCCATGGAAATTCTCCAATCAATGCAAGTTGTTGGAGATTCGAACAAATGTTATTAACATTGTAGCCTAAACAGATACCATCTGAACTACCATTTAAACCAATCATTTTAACGAACTCAAGTCGTTCATGATATGTAAAAGTGTTATTTGAGTATATTCTACTAACATATTTTGTCTTTAACTCCATGTGTGTTTCTTATTCATCTTCCATCTAATTCTCCATCCCTCCCTCCATCTCTCTCTTTCTCTCTCAATCTCTCTGTCCTCAATTTAACAATATGAGGCAAAACAATAAAAAGGTATTGTCCAGATGACCAATACACCCATCACCGTCACAAGAATTCAGAGGAAACCAGCTATGTCATGTCACAGCTATGTGTGCTGGTACAACGTCTGTCAGACACATGACACTACGCAACTCAATTCACTAATTCAAAGCTAAAATATCTTCAACATAACATGTGCTACTTGCTCAGGAGTTTATTCCGAACTGAACTGCCGTGGTTCGTGAGTGATCACGACAAAAACACATCTTAATGGTCACGAGATACACACAGATATAAAGGAAATAACTCGCATAATACAGCGATCACAACCACACACGGTTACTCTCTCTTAACAATACATCACAATAACATTCACAAAAGATTAAACGGGCAAAACATGGGGGAAAAAGATAAATAAACGGCGCTAAAAAAATCCTCGTGCAGTCATACACCAATATAAAGTAAGGAATCTAGTAGGCTTACTTGTAATACTCAACGAAGGTGATGCTTTCACCGGCTGACTTGGATGCGAACTTGTCCAAGGGCGTCTTTGACCAGACGATGTCGTCGACCCTGTAGGTTTTGTTGTTGTAGCGAGTGAGCACCACCGAGCCCACCACCTTGCGCATTATTTCCTCCTGGAAGCCTCGGGGGTTGGAGATGGCGCAAGCTTCCCTGGCGACAACAAACGGAACATTTTCCAAACCGTGAGAAGAAAACAATCAAACCATTTTGTGAACTTAGTTTTAAGTAAGTGTATTACGGCACTTCCAAAACTATAAGGTCATATATAAGTGCCGAAGAATAGATGTGTTACAAGAGAGTAACAAATATATAAAAGAAAGAGGAGAGATCTTTTTTTTTAGTAGAAGTTTTACGGCGCTCGAAACAACAAGGTCATATAAGTGCCGAAGAATAGATTATGTGTTACAAGAGAGTAACAAAAATTAAAAAAGAAGGAAAAGAGATCAGGACGATAGGTATTTGATAGGAAAGAAGGAGTAAACCACACCAGAGCACCCGCCAACCACCCACAATAACACATTCATGCCTTTCATCTAGGACTGGGAGCACACTCAAGAACACAGTGTATACAATCACACATTCACACTCAAGAACACAGCGTATACAATCACACATTCACACTCAAGAACACAGCGTATACAATCACACATTCACACTCAAGAACACAGCGTATACAATCACACATTCACACTCAAGAACACAGCGTATACAATCACACATTCACACTAAAGAACACAGCGTATACAATCACACATTCACGCAATACGTGGAGGACAGGGAGCAAACTCCAGAACACAGCGTATACAATTACACATTCACACTAAAGAACACAGCGTATACAATTACACATTCACACTCCAGAACACAGCGTATACAATCACACATTCACACTCAAGAACACAGCGTATACAATCACACATTCACACTCAAGAACACAGCGTATACAATTACACATTCACACTAAAGAACACAGCGTATACAATTACACATTCACACTAAAGAACACAGCGTATACAATTACACATTCACACTAAAGAACACAGCGTATACAATTACACATTCACACTAAAGAACACAGCGTATACAATTACACATTCACACTCAAGAACACAGCGTATACAATCACATATTCACACTCAAGAACACAGCGCACACAATCACACATTCACGCCATACAGGCAGGGCCGGGAGCCCACTCAAGAACACAGGGCGTATCTACGTACATGATGTCGTGCACGGTCTCCGTCCGCAGCACTTTGTGAGAGGCGTCCAGGAGCAACATGAGCCCACCCTCCTGCTCCTGGGCAGCTGTGATGTATCCTGGCCACACCTCCAGTCTGCACAGGGGGGAAAACAAGAACAGAGATATCATATAACGACATCTGGATCATTAACAACAACATATAACGACATAATAACGATGATGTCAATAATAATGGGAATTTATGTAGCCCCTTATCCCTACAACAATTCAAGTCAACCGTGAATGGTTTAGTTTTAGTTTTAGCAAGAGTTTTCCACGCATACAACACAATAAGGTCATATAAGTGCCGAAGATTAGAGGAGTTACAAGAGAGTAACAAACACAAAATAGAAGGAGGGGAGAAAAGGACGACGGATGTTTGATAGAAAAGAAGGAGCAAACCGCACTAGAGCATCCCCCAACCACCCACCCGTGAATGGTTGAAAGGAGCACTTCAGCATTGATACACATAACCCTGGGTGCCTCAAATCACAAATTCAAAACGTATGCAAATAACAAAATGGGCAAATCACAACAAAAAATTTAAAAATTTTAAATAAAGAGTGCAACAAAACAACACACCTTAGTTTAGTTCTAGTAGAGGTTTTAGTAGAGGTTTTACGGCGCTCGCAACTGTATGAGGTCATATGAGCGCCACAAGATTAGAGGTGTTACAAGAGAGTAGTAGTAGTATAAGGTTTTACGGCGCTCGCAACTGTATGAGGTCATATGAGCGCCACAAGATTACAGGTGTTACAAGAGAGTAGTAGTAGTATAAGGTTTTACGGCGCTCGCAACTGTATGAGGTCATATGAGCGCCACAAGATTACAGGTGTTACAAGAGAGTAGTAGTAGTATAAGGTTTTACGGCGCTCGCAACTGTATGAGGTCATATGAGCGCCACAAGATTACAGGTGTTACAAGAGAGTAGTAGTAGTATAAGGTTTTACGGTGCTCGCAACTGCATCAGGTCATATGAGCGCCACAAGATTACAGGTGTTACAAGAGAGTAGTAGTAGTATAAGGTTTTACGGCGCTCGCAACTGCATCAGGTCATATGAGCGCCACAAGATTACAGGTGTTACAAGAGAGTAGTAGTAGTATAAGGTTTTACGGCGCTCGCAACTGCATACGGTCATATGAGCGCCACAAGATTACAGGTGTTACAAGAGAGTAGTAGTAGTATAAGGTTTTACGGCGCTCGCAACTGCATACGGTCATATGAGCGCCACAAGATTACAGGTGTTACAAGAGAGTAGTAGTAGTATAAGGTTTTACGGCGCTCGCAACTGCATACGGTCATATGAGCGCCACAAGATTACAGGTGTTACAAGAGAGTAACAAACATAAAAAAGAAGGAGGGGAGATAAGGACGATAGCTGTTTGATAGGAAAGAAGGAGCAAACCACACCAGAGCACCCGCCAACCACCCACACAACACACTGAAATGAACATTTGCGAACAACACACTATAAAGCAACACAACTAACAACAGGAACCAGGTAAACTACTCACTTGCGCTGGGGGATGGAGGCTGGAGTGTGTGGGTTGAAAAAATATCTCTGAACTTGGCACATGTCTAAGATGTACATGATCCTGAAAGAAAAATTACAAAAATAAATACATTTTTAGAAACCAATCAAAATGAAAGTTTCAACTAAACCAAATCAGCTTAAGAGTTTTTTCCCCCGCATTTGCAACACGACCAGGTCATACAAATGTCAAAGATAAGAGGCATTATCAAAGATAATCACTCAAAGAAAAGGAGAAGGAGAGATAAAGATGATAGAAATTGGAATGGGAAAGAAGGAGAAAACTACACTAGAGCACCTGCCAACCACTGACTTTGAGCCGGGGAAAAAAAGGACAGTTTTAGTCTTAGTAAAGGTATTACGGCGCTCGCAACTGCATAAGGTCATATGAGCGCCAGAAGATTAGAGGTGTTACAAGAGAGTAACAAACATAAAAAAGAAGAAGGGGAGATAAGGATGATAGATGTTTCATAGGAAAGAAGAAGCAAACCACACCAGAGCACCCGCCAACCACTCACAATAAAGGACAGAGAGACAGAAACAACAGGGGAAAAGAAAAGAAATATGACCTACTAATAGCGTCCTTCAACCAAACACCGGCTTCCTCTGTCTTTCTTCTTAGTAAGAGTTATACGGCACTTGCAACACAATAAGGTCATATAAGTGCCGAAGATTAGAGGAGTTACAAGAGAGTAGCAAACAAAAAAAAAGGAGAGATCAGGAGGATAGACGTTTGATAGGAAAGAAGGAGCACACCACACCAGAGCACCCGCCAAACACCCACTTTCCTGTTTAGTTTAGTTTTAGTAAGCTTTATTGTTATTTAGTAGAAGTTTTACGGCACTGGCAACTGCATAAGGCCATATGAGTGCCAAGGGGTGGATGTCAACAGAAATGTCTTGACAGTGAATCAGACTTACTCTGCTCACCACTCTAGCCTCAACAGCACAAAGTCTGCTTCGACTATCAAGGCACCCTGGAAATAGCGGGTCACAAGAGTGTGACAAACATACAAAAGAAATAGAGGAAAATGACAATAGTAAGGATTAGGAAAGAAAAAGCAGCAGTTCCCTCTATATTGTTCCAGAACATTATGAGCATGACATAGATAAATCAGCCCATTTACAATTCTGCTGTGCATAAAGAACATGTTGTTAATATCCCGCCTTTGGGAATGGTCTAAACGCACTTCAGTCAGTGGCACTGCCCTGTGGGGTGTACCACTTTCCTGTGTCAGAAAGGGTTTTAACTTCAACAAAAATAGACAGATCAACAAAAGAAACGACCAACCTCCTGAAGACAATGTTGTAGAGATGAACACACTGAGACAGATAAACTAAAGAAACGACAAACCTTCTGAAGACAGACAGACTGAAGAAAGAACCAACCTTCTGAAGACGACATTGTACAGATGAACACACTGAGACAGACAGATAGACTGAAGAAACAACCAACCTTCTGAAGACGACATTGTACAGATGAACACACTGAGACAGACAGATAGACTGAAGAAACGACCAACCTTCTGAAGACAACGTTGTAGAGATGAACACACTGGGCAGGGGGAACGGTTTTCACATACGTCACCGTCAGCGAAACCGCCGTACCGTCAGTCTTCCTGATGGAGGTGAACACAACTTCCTGGGGACAGAAATACTTACTTTACATATTCTATCAAAAAGTTTAACATGACCACGGGTAAAAGTTGTTTTGCCTGAAAACTTTCAAACTCATAGCACCTCAAGGGGCTTTGCCTAAAAAGATAATCGAATGCCCCCCCCCCCCCCCTTGTGAATTTATGCTCAAACTCGAGCAACGGAGTTGAAAAGTCTGACTTTTTTTTAGACAGTTGTTTGGTAAATGACAGAAACTAGTGCTTCACGAAATCCACGCTAGTCCAGCCAAGGACGGCCATTGTCGGCTGCCGGCACTATGATGCCAGCTGGCTTTCTCTTGCCAGAATTTCCAGCCACAGCCGCCACACTTTTACCCATGAACATGACACACGCTCAATATATACACTTTTTAAAAATCAGGTCATAATTCATTGTATTTGTGTATTGTAGATCAATTTTTTTTTAAACTTTACTCCAAATTCTTCACGGGAAAACCTCGCACAGATGAGCCTGCTCTAACAGCCACCTGTCCAAGTCAAGATAATCCCCCATACAAACAACCACTGACTTTCCAGTTGGTATTTTGTCTGTACTATAATGACTCTAAAACCTCCACATTTCTAGGAAAACTACTTTTCTTCTCAACAACAGGCGACTGTCTTGGATAATTTCAACTGTACTTTCTTATTGTCGATTTTTGGAATTTGCATGTCATTTTGTTAAAGAAATCAATTTTTTAAAATCAGACCATGTATGATTTAAGTGTACTGAGAGTGCCAACTGCCCCCCACAACTTCAACAAATATTGATACTTCTTTTTTAGTAGAGGTTTTACGGCGCTCACAACTGCATAAGGTCATATGAGCGCCAAGGGGTGGATGTCAACAAAGAAGTCCTTACGGTGAATCTGGCTTACTCTGCTCACCTCTCTAGCTTCAACAGCACAAAGTCTGCTTCGACTATCAAGGAACCCCGGAAATAGCAGTTCACAAGAGTGTGACAAACATACAAAAGTAGAGGAAAATGACAATAGTAAGGATTAGGAAAGAAAAAGCAGCAGTTCCCTGTTGCAGTTCAGGCACAGTTATGAGCATGACATTGATGAATCAGCCCATTTACAATTCTACTGTGCATAAGAACATGTTAATGTCCCCCCTTTGGGAGTGGCATACAGACACTTCAGTCAGTGGCACTGCCCCGGGGGTAAGGCCAAACAGTGCGTCACTTACTTTGCTCTGTAATTTCTTGGGCATGTACAGGATGCTGCCGTCAAAACTGTAGCCTGTGTTCAGTTCTGCTTTGTGCTCCGCCAACAGCTTAATCTTCAACCTTTTGTTGTCGATGACCGGTGAGAAATGGACGTGGTACTGATAGACGCCATCATGTTTGCACAACAGTCGCACATAGTTGGCAGACAGCTGCATGCTGGGAAAATAATAATAATAATAATAATAATGAGGATCATTTTTACAGCGCCCACTCCCGTGTGAACACAGCTCTAGGCGCTTTGCATAAATGCATGTACCAACAATATTCATGCACGCAGACACACACATACATACTCATGCACACATTACACACACATGTGCACATACACATGCACGCTAAATGCACACACACACACACACATCTACAAAAACAAAACATTGGTTGATACTTTAGAATGCTGTACAGTTACAAAGATACCAGTTTTCTACAGAGAAACTTAGGTACATCACACAAAAGACTAATTCTACGCATTTATTAATCAGAGAATTTTATTCTACGACTCACCGAGAGTGAGTGACTAACTACATGCCAAGATTTACGCACAACCACAACATGGGGACAGCACTCCAACAAACGTAGACATTGTCCAACAAGTGAAAAGAAAAGGATTCTACTAAACCTCAACCGTGGACTTTTATTTTATCTGATCACTTATTTATTTATTAGGGCGGGGAAAATCAAAACTACACCACATAGCATAATGCCACAAAACTGATCAATGGCACAAACACACTACCTGACTTTTCCTTTCAAAAATAGCATTTTGACTAACGCTGTGCCTTAATTTGGACTCAAAACACCAATACTCAATACTGTTATACAGTTTTGAACCGAACTCAAAAGCCACCATGCAAGAGAGACAGAAAAGAATTAAGTGGCGCCGTCACCAGACGAGAACCCTCCCCACCCCAAATCAACCAACTGCACAAGCGTACCATGGAAGAGAATCAGGCTACACAAACAGGGGTAGTTAGTTATAGTAAGAGTTTTACGGCACTTGCGACAAAATAAGGTCATATGAAGTGCCGAAGATTAGAGGTGTTACAAGAGAGTAACAAACACACCAAAAAAAAGGAGGGGAGATAAAGACGATAGAATAGATGTTTGATAGGAAAGAAGAAGCAAACCAAACGAGAGCACCCGCCAACCACCCACAAACAGGGGTAGACCACACAAAACGTCAAAGAAGTCTTCCAAAAGAATAACTTATCAACAACAGAAGCCACCCATCACGCCTGTGACCAAAAACCCCACCTCCTCTCAACATCTAACCATACAACAGATAGGAAAAAGTAAAAGGAAAGTAACAGAGGCAGAATAATAATAATAATAATAATAATAATAATAATAATAATAATAGAAAACATTTATACAATACAACCTGAGTGCTTTCTAGTCGTATCTCCATTTTTTTAAACAGTGAAAATGCGACTTCTTCTTCAGCTCCCTCTTTGTTATGAACTGTTTTTACTGTAAAAAAAAATATGGAGATAACGACAAGAAAGCACCGAGGTCGCAATAGAGTTCAACCACGATTTAAAAAGACAGGCTCGGAGCACTTTACAAATACATCAGCAACACATAAACAGTACTTTGTGTTCTCACACCAAAAACCCAGAAGTACCTCTTTAATCTGTTGTTGTTGTTGTTGTTAGCGATCCAGTATCATCTGAGCGTTAACTCTTCTGCATGATGCCATTCGGTAATAGTTGCATGTTTGTTCTAATTGTTGTCTTGAGGAGTAGAGGCAGTTAGATGTGTGGGGTAGCTTGGGAAGAAAACATCCCTTAAATCAGTTAGTTTTCTACAGAAGAACAGATGATGTTCCACTGTCTCTGAGGGGTAGTCACATAGTGGGCAGGCAGCAGACTGCTTTACTCCAATTCGGTTGAGATGTTGGTTGAGGGGTACATGTTGTGTTCTAAGTTGGAAGATTATGGATTGATCTCCCCTCCTCAACTCATTGATTGGAACCTCTTTAATCTAAAAACAGGAAAGTACTCACGGTTTCCCCCTCTCCCCACGCATGGACACTGTGGGCCTGCGTTCCCTCTCTCTCTCTCCAACCTGTGACCCCCTCGGGCGACCTCCGACTTGTAAGCCGGCCATCCGCTCGCTGGGAGGGTCAGACGAGTGTGAGGGGCTGGGGGGCGGGCTTGACCGGCCGGACGCGGATGCCACAGAGCTCGGTCGAGAGGAGGCGCTGGTTACAGAGCCACCCTGTAGCTGACTGCGGCCCAAGCCGACCTGACCCTGTTTTTGCTGAGCGCTGGAATATCAGTTTAGTTTTAGTAAGAGTTTTACGGCGTATTAGAGGTTTTACAAGAGAGTAACAAACATAAAAAAGAAGAAAAGGAGATAAGGACGATACATGTTTGACAGGAAAGAAAGAGCAAACCACACTTTAGCACTCCAAAACAACCACAAATAAACAAAAAAACTTAACCAACTGATAAAATCTCAACAGTTTCATGATTTGTTTGTTTTAGTAAGAGTTTTACGGCACTTGCAACACAATAAGGTTCTATAAGTGCCAAAGATTAAAGGTGTTACAAGAGAGTAAAAACACAAAAAAGAAGGAGGGGAGACAGAGATGATAGATGTTTTATAGGAAAGAAGAAGCAAACCACACCAGAGCACCCGCCAAGCACCC